ACTCGAGAAACATACATTCAAACCTATCTTGCTTTGTTGCAATCCAGTTAGTACATATCCTCTTTATATCGTCAGTTAATCTGCTAGATCCACTCTTTGTCTCACTTTAAGACTTATTTGGTCCATCTATTATCTTTCAATCTAGAAATATGTCCTGCTCACTTTCATTTAATTTTAGCTAGATGTTTTGTAATGTGGATGTAGAACAAGGAGTTATGGAGCATTAGGAACAGAAAACAATGACAAAAATACCACAAACCACCATGGATGACAAAAAACGTAAAAGAAATTATACAAGAAAAAAACAAAATATATAAGAAATGGCTAACAAATAAAACATTTACCAATAGAGCAACATATCAAAGGAAAAATGGAGAAGTACGCAATCAAATAAAAAAAGCAAAAAACAATTTTTGTGAACAAAAATGTCTCCAAGTTGAAAATTTAATTGGTGGTTCTGAGACTACGGAAGCATGGAGAACTATAACTAATCTAAAGAAAAACACCCATAACTCTTTAAGCAACTTAATTTTTATAGCAAAGTGGGAAAATCACTATAAAAATTTACTCCAAGAGTCCAAAGAGGAATACAGTATGGAGAGACAAACAAATAGTAACATAAATACTACTAACTACGAGGTCCGTGCTGCGTTAATTAAAATGAAAAACGGGTGATCTCCAGAACCTAGCAATATATCTGTAGAGTTACTTACAGCAAGAGGTCCACTCCTAATAGAACGAATAACTTTTCTAATGAATCAATGCTGCCAACAAATTAAAGTACCATCTGAATGGAAAACCGCTCACCAAGTATCCATCTTTAAAAAGGGTAACCGAAAAGATTCTAACTGTCTAAATATCTCTATATTTGCGCTTACACAGTTTTAGAGGCTGTTCTAGATAAATTTTAAATAATGTTGGTTAGAGACAGCAGCCCTGCTTAATGCCTTTATTCATTTGGAATCGACTTGACAGATTATTTCCAACCTTTACCTTTGGGTTAGCATTAGCGTACAGTTCCTTGTTTATGCTTATGTTTGTTTTCTCTAAGGCTTTCCATAACTTTTTAATCTGGTAAGCTATCATAAACCTTTCGTAGGTCTACATACAATAAATGTACTTCTTGATTAACGGCTATTTTCTTTTCAATATTCTATATAATGCCAAACAAATGGTCAACAGTAGATCTACCTGATCTAAATACTGCCTGTTCCTTGGCCTCTAAGTCATTATATTCGCTTTCTATTTTGTTTTTAGTTACTTTTTCGTATATTCTACTGACCGAGTTTGTCACGGCAATGCCTCTGTAATTGTGACATTTATCCCTTTTGCCTTTTTTTGTGTATAGTGGATATGAATGACGTCTTCCACCCACCTGGGATTGTGATTCCAATAATGCAGTTTTGGAACAGTTTGGCTAAACTTTTATATAGTTTGGTTGTACCTTGTTTAATTAACTCTGCTGGGATTTTACCTGGACCCAATGCTTTGTAATTTTTTAGAGATCGACATACATCTTCCACTTCTTTCGTTGTTATTCGTATGCACAAAGTTAAAATATTTTTATTTTGTGTTTCGCTACTGTCTTTAAATTGTGGTCTATCTTCCCTTAAGAGTTTCTCAAAATATTGGTCCTAGTCATCCATTGTTATTTTTGATACTATGTCTCTCTTCTTATCTTGTCGTAAAGATTTTAAGACTCTTCAACTTTCTGTGATTCTTCGTCCTCCTAGATTTATCATGTTACACTTTTGTTGCCATTTTTTCTGTCACATATCATTTTTCGTACTTTAGCTTGAGACTCCTTGTAAATTATGTTTTCCGATATATTCTTTGTATTTAAGAATTTTTGATATCGGTCTCTTTTATTCCTTATTTCTTCTTCTATTTCTTCGTCAAAACAATATGGAAGATTTCGTTGATTCTGGCTTTGGCATCCAATGGCTTCTGTTGCTGCCTCTTGAAGACACCTTTTTATGTGAGTGTAATGTTCTTCATTATTATTAAATTGTTTATTTTCCAACTTTTGATTTAATCTAATTCTGTATAATTCTCCTATGCTTTCTTATTCCAAGCTGAGTAGGTTGTATCTCTTCTGTATGACTTTCTCCCTTTCATTTTCTTCTTTTTCGTCTTTAGCTTTATTTACTCCTTAGCTGTGATCTTAGCTTTTAATACGTGATGATCGCTTCCACTAGTAGCTCCTCTCAATACTCTCATTATACAATCATATTTGTCTTTTGTTGTATGATTGTGTAGTCTATGATTGATTTTATCCCTCTCGTATTTTGCGTCCATGTATATTTGTGTATGTCTCTGTGTTAAATATATTTGCAATTTTCATTTCATTTTGCTCGCATAATGATATTAGTATACATTATATATGTCTTATTTACTTATGTAAAAGTGGTTCAGTTAAATTGACTAAAACTTTGAAGAGAGGTAGCTTTGGTTATGCTGATCAAAGTTATCATAAATATCATACAAACTTTGAGAAAGTCCTTATAAGTATAATAAACAGTTCAATTTTATACATTAATAAACGAGTATATATATATATATATATATATATATATATATATATATATATATTTATATAAATAGAGTTTGTATAACGACGCTAAGAATACAATTCTTTGGAGGATAACTTTCGGGAAAGCGTCAAAACAAGGATCAGCTAGAGATGGTATAAGCCAGTTTGGTGTAGAACTTTATTCTATATGTGAAATTTTCGGTGATATGTTGTCACCTTCATCAGCACCTAAATGGAAAACCTATTTTAGTACAAGTGGTGGAAGTTAACATATAAAACCTACATTGAAAATGTTCAGTTGGTCCTAGAGTTGAAGAACACTGTCACAAACATGTTAAAAATATTAAAAATTACATTTAAAATTTTGAATAAAAACATTACAACACAACAGGGTATTATTTAAAATACAAACACAACAAAAATCTAAAAATTATAACCTACACAACAACTGCAACTTCATGTTAAAGGTAGAAAAGAAGAATTATTCTTCTTTTTTGATGACATATTTCTGACTTCTGTCAATATCCGGGTGTCATATGCAACGAGGTTATAATTTTCACGTTAGAACCTCATGGATATGGAAAGAAAGAGCCCCAGGAAACACAATCAGCAGGGAAATGGAGTCTTTTCTCAAGTACAGGTAGGCAATCTATGTATGTTATGATAAGTTCCCTACATTCTCCAGTTTGTTACATCTTGTCAAGTCTTGTTGAAGTAGAAATGAATAAATACAACTTAAGTTTTCAACATCTTTCTTACAGTTCATAGAAGAACTGCAGTTATGGATGTAGCACATTTCTATGAAGTTTCTCTTAAATTGGTTGTCAACCCTCTTTAGTACTTGCACATTTTCATAGTTAGCAATGTGTCCAGTATTCTTAATATGTTGGCTAAAGGCTGTGCAGGTGGGTTTCCTCACTACATCACTCTTGTGCAAAGCTAGTCTTTTTGAAAGTTTCTCACCTGACAGAAAGAGTTAAAAAAACTGGATAACTTCAATGTAGTGTATTCTATTCCATGTGGTTCCTGTTCAGAAGTGTATGTCGGTCAAACCAGCCAGAAACTTTCAAAAAGACTAGCTTTGCACAAGAGTGATGTAGTGAGGAAACCCACCTGCACAGCCTTTAGCCAACATATTAAGAATACTGGACACATTGCTAACTATGAAAATGTGCAAGTACTAAAGAGGGTTGACAACCAATTTAAGAGAAACTTCATAGAAATGTGCTACATCCATAACTGCAGTTCTTCTATGAACTGTAAGAAAGATGTTGAAAACTTAAGTTGTATTTATTCATTTCTACTTCAACAAGACTTGACAAGATGTAACAAACTGGAGAATGTAGGGAACTTATCATAACATACATAGATTGCCTACCTGTACTTGAGAAAAGACTCCATTTCCCTGCTGATTGTGTTTCCTGGGGCTCTTTCTTTCCATATCCATGAGGTTCTAACGTGAAAATTATAACCTCGTTGCATATGACACCCGGATATTGACAGAAGTCAGAAATATGTCATCAAAAAAGAAGAATAATTCTTCTTTTCTACCTTTAACATGAAGTTGCAGTTGTTGTGTAGGTTATAATTTTTAGATTTTTGTTGTGTTTGTATTTTAAATAATACCCTGTTGTGTTGTAATGTTTTTATTCAAAATTTTAAATGTAATTTTTAATATTTTTAACATGTTTGTGACAGTGTTCTTCAACTCTAGGACCAACTGAACATTTTCAATGTAGGTTTTATATGTTAACTTCCACCACTTGTACTAAAATAGGTTTTCCATTTAGGTGCTGATGAAGGTGACAACATATCACCGAAAATTTCACATATAGAATAAAGTTCTACACCAAACTGGCTTATACCATCTCTAGCTGATCCTTGTTTTGACGCTTTCCCGAAAGTTATCCTCCAAAGAATTATATTTATATATATATATAATATATAATATATATATATATATATATATATATATTGGCCGTTAATTAAAATTTGTAGAAGCAAATTGTATCTAAAAATCTATGGAGAGTAAATTTTTTAAAAATTATACAAAAATAAATTAAGTTTTTAATTCTTTCGTACCTGTTACAAAAAACCATTTTAAGTAAAATAAATCCCAGACTATTATTATTACCGGCCGTTAGCAAGCGGTCATTTCTCAAGATTGCATAGCGTACCATCATAGCTATCTCTGAATGATTTAGTACCCTCGAAATGGGAGGGAGTCCGTACTACGGTCTTGCACCAAAAGAAGCGTTGTGGGAGGAAACTGGAGTAAAAGTGAATTACCGCACTGATTTATACACAATGGGATTACTAAATTCTTCTGCCATATATATAAACCAAAATATATTTGAAGACAAGTAGTTATCGTTTGAGATCTTCACTGCAAACTTGCGTAGAAATTTGTTCAAATTTGGAAGTGTTGCGTGTTGAGTGAACAAAAACAACAAAAAGGATTATCGCCATGTTTGTTAACGTAAGTGAAACAGTTGTGGAAAGTTTAGAAAAGTGGATGTGAGCTGTGTTTTGGTCAGAGATTTAAATTTCGAGAAAAATTTATATTTTCAAATAGTAATAAAAAAATTAAATTCTTCTTAAAAAAGTTTTTTCACAACTTAATTTTTTGCATTTTTTCGGAGTTATTTAACTACCTCAAAAAGTCAAAACTTAGTTATTTGATTAATTTAATACCAGATGGACTTTTCATTAACTATAATGTTTATATTTAAATATGTTTGCAAGTTTGTTATTTGTAAGTGAAAATGTAAAAATATATGGAAACAATTTAAGTTTAAATATCTACGTCAAAAACTTAACTGCCTATCAAAATTAGCGGCCATTTTGCTTTATAACATTTAAAAAAACATAAACTGACCTTTAATACGTGTTAAAAAATTTTTTATTCAGATTATATTGTCAGTTTACATCCAAACCATGCTGAATCCACTTTTTGAACTTTACAGTTTAAACCTTAATATGAAATGAAAAATCGCCTAAATTTAAAAATTTTAATGATAGAAAAATATTAAAGCAAATAATACTACAAACGAAAAACTAGGTAAAAAACAGATAAAATAAAAGAGAAATTAAAAAAAATGTATAAAAGATATTTTTGCGGAACTTGTTTGATATTGTAGTTACTATTTAAATGGGAATAAGCCACAATTAAAGGTTAAAATACGTTTATTGACGTTTCAATTTCCACTAATAAATGAAAAAAAAAAATAAAATAAGCCAATCATATTTTCTAAATTCTATACAAATATTCTTAAACATGTAATGGATACCACTGGAGAAGTTCTATTTCGATCTGTATCGTTCCAGAAACGATCCCCTTAACTCCTTAAAGCAGAAATTAAAAAGACAGATAACACATGTCAACTCAGAAGTGATGCCCGAAATAAGCCACAATGAAATAGAAAAAGCAGTAAAAGAAATAAAAAGGAATAAAGCTCCTGGAAGCGATGAAATCCTAGCAGAAATGCTTAAGGAAGGCGAAGAAGAAGCCATCACATACCTAAAAATACTATTTAATAAATGTTTATTTGAAGGCAATATACCCGAACAATGGAATACTGCTTAAACAATACTAATACACAAAAAGGGAGACACCATAGACCTGAAAAATTATCGACAAATTTCACTTCTTTCACAACTTTACATAACCTTTACAAAGATTATTACAAACAGGTTAACAATTAAAATTGACGGATACCAAAAAGTAGAACAAGCCAGATTTAGAAAAGGGTACAGCACCTGTGACCATCTATATACTTTGAAAATCCTAATAGAAAAGACTAACGAATACAATCTCTCATTATTTCTGGCTTTTATAGATTATAAAAAAGCTTTTGATAGCGTAGAACTGTGGGCAATAGAAGAAGCATTAGTCAACAACCTGATCGACTTCAGGTACAAAATATTAACAAATAATATTTACGAACAAGTTGAAATGACAGTGACGTTGGGTAATGGAATCGAAAAAAGACCAGTAAAAATCAACCGAGGCGTAAGACAAGGAGACACAATATCTCCAAAATTATTTACAGCTGCCTTAGAAGATATCTATAAGTCAAAAGACTGGGAAAATAGGGAATCCCTATTAAGAAAAGATACTTAAACAGAGTTAAAAAGGAGAATAGGACTGGCATGGGCAGCTTACGGAAAACTGAGGGAAGTCTTTAAATCAGCTATTCCCATGTGCTTGAAGAGAAAAGTTTTTGATCAGTGTGTACTTTCGGTTCTGACATATGGAGCAGAAACATTGACACTTACCAAAAAAGTAATTAATAAGATACAAGTGGCACAGAGAGCGATGGAGAGGTCAATGTTGGGCGTATCACTCAGGGACAGAGTTTCGAGTCAGATAGTAAGGAGAAAAACTGGTGTGACGGACGCAGTTGAAAGAATTACAACCCTGAAATGGAACTGGGCAGGACATGTTGCTAGGGTCAGAGATGGAAGATGGACAAAGAAAATTTTAGAGTGGAGGCCTAGACACGATGCTTATCGTAGTCGAGAACGTCCTCCAACAAGGTGGTCGGACGATTTAAAGCGCATCCAGTCTAACTGGATTCAAGTTGCTCAAGATCGGATGCAATGGAATTATTTGCGGGAGGCCTATGTTCAGCAGTGGACGCAAAATGGCTAATGATGATGATGATGATGACTTAAACCAACTTAGATACGCAGATGATCTATTACTAACAGCAGACACCTCGAATGCACTGAATACGATGATTGAAAAGCTAGACACAAAATCTCTACAAAAAGAGTAAAAATGAATTTCAGCAAAACCAAACTAATGTCAAACAAAGGTGACAAACCTACGATAAACATCCAGAGAACAGAGATAGAAATTCTCTTATTCATGTATAATGTCCTTTAAGAACGTTGGTTACCATCATAGCTGTCTTAATTTTATTTACTGCTACCCTAAATAGCATGATTGTATCTCTTTGTCTTACGCCTTAGTTGATTTTTACTGGTATTGTTTTGATTCCATTATCCAACGTCACTATCATTTTTGTTCGTAAATATTATGTATTAATATTCTGTACATGGAGTCAATCCGATTGTTGACTACAGCTCCTTCTATTGCCCACAGTTCTACGCTATCAAAAGTTTTTTTTTTTCATAATCTATAAAAGCCAGATATAATGGGAGATTGTATTCGTTTGTCTTTTCTATTAGGATTTTTAAAGTGTATAGATGGTCACAGATGCTGTATCCTTTTCTAAATCCGGCTTGTTCTACTGGTTGATATTCGTCAAATTTAATTGTTAATCTGCTTGTAATAATCTTTGTAAAGGTTTTGTAAAGTTGTGAAAGAAGTGAAATTGGACGATCATTTTTCAGGTCTGTGGTGTATTTCTTTTTGTCTACAAATATTGTTTTAGCAGTATTCCATTATTCGGGTATGTTGCCTTCGAATCGACATTTATTAAATAGCATTTCTGCTAGGTTTCCATCGCTTATATTAGCTTTATTTCTTTTTGTTTTTTTTTCTGCTTTCTATTTCTTCGTGGCTTATTTCGGTCCTATTGGTCTTTTGTGGCTTATTATCACTTCTGAGTTTATATGTGTTATCTGCCTTTTCAAGTTCTGCTTTGAGGAGTTAGGGGGATCGTCTTTGGCACAGTACAGATCGGCGTAGAACTTTTCAATTGAATTTGCTATATCAGATTTACTTTTTCTAGTTGTCTTTGTTTATTTTTAATGGTTATTAAATTTTTCTTTGGTAATTTCGGTTTGGTGCATTTGGAACTTCATTTGAAAGTTGCCATATTTATTAACAGCTACTTAAAAGGTAGTGTTTCAAACTTATATTCTAATACTAAGATCAGCCGATTAACAAAATTGCTGAACTGCTTAATTATAACAAATCATGTTAAAAATAAAATCCTGTATTGGTAACGCAAATTTCACATAGATATCTGCACCAGCTGCGGATAAAGATGATGAAGAAATAGAAAATTTTTACATTAACATTTAATTGATATTAAAATCAACCTAAAATATGATGTATTAATACTGCTTAGAGATTTTAACGTTAAAATAGGAGAAGGTTCAGCTTATGAATGTGTGGGAACTTTTGTATTTGAACGAGAATCACAAATGAGAGAGTCGATCGCCTAATCGAATTATCTCAACAAAAACTAGAAAAAACTAGATGTTCACATTAGTGAAACCCAATATGGTTTCATAAATACCTTTTAGGAAGCAGAAAAACACTATTCTCCATCAATGTACTAATACAAAAATTTACAGACATAAACTTTGATGTTTATGTGTATTTTGTTGACTATCAAAAAGCGTTTGATAAACTAAAGCATAATTAACTATGTAATAATAATATACTTAAGAAGAATATTAGAGAATACAAATATCGACAGCAATGATAGATGAATAATACAGAAGCTTTAATTGAACCAAAGAGCAGCTATTAATGTAGAGGTGAATTCTCCAAAGAAATATAAATCCAACGAAAGGTTAGACAAGGTTGCATACAATTTATACTACTCCTTGGTACCCTTTGTACTCTGAGTATATTTTCAACAAAGCTTTAATCACAATTGATTCTGGAATTTGTGTAAATGGAAAATGAATTAGCTATAAAATATACTATACTCCAACAATACAGTTCAAATCCTGGAAGACCTAAAAGACTTGTTAAAATAAAAAACAAATATATTTAGCAATCACTACGGATTGAGAATCAACACGGAAAAAAAACTGAATATGTTTACGATTGTACGTAAAACCAGTGTTTAATGATATTAATATTCCTTAATTAAGAATTAACGATTATATCATAAAACGAATAAAAAACTATTAATATCAAGGAAAAATGCTAGATGTTAATTATAATTAAACCATAGATATTAACAAACGTATCGAAATGGACAGAGCTGGGGATGCGAATGACCCAATGCTATATTTACTCTATATTATTTATTATATAGAAGTAAAGCTTGGACTTTAAACAGACTGAAAGCTTTTGTAATGTGGAGGTCAACCAAATTAGCCAGTACTACACCTCATGCAGAAATCACGTGAACTAATATTTACCATCCAGAAGTATAAATTAGAATTTTGCTCATTTTGCCGACTATTCTTTTTGTTGAGAATATACTTCCTTTACATCTGATCTATCTGATTCTATCTAATTTTTCTACTTTGTAGTTTATTAAGTAATTTTGTTCTTTTTGTTGCCCTCCTTATTATTGTTAAAGTTGCAGAAAGTCTTAATAGTGACACTAGTGCATCCATAATACTGACACCTTAATTATATACGTTTTATTTTGATCATTACAATCTAATATGGTTCTATTTTTAATGTTCATTTTTAAACATGGGTCTCCGCCTTATATTTTTAGAGATCTATAGCATGCGCCATTTGCTTCCATCTCGATCGAGTATGTTGCTTTATGACATCTAACAACCTAAGTTGAGATCTTCTGAGATTTATTTCCA